GGGGGGGGGGGGGGGGGGGGGGGGGGGGGGGGGCAGGGACTTTGTCTCTAGGTCCCAAGGAGCCATTAGCCTGCGCAGCCAGGTTCTGCGAGGAGCTGCCTCCATCTGGACTCCCTTGGGATTAAGGCCAGGCTGTGGACAGCCCCACAGGACACCCAGGAGCCGGCCGTGGACTCTTCTGTCCTTGTTCTCATTGTACTGAGGGGTGGGGAGGATGGGCTACGGGTTGGCCAAGGCCCCCGCTCTGAAACGTAGCTTCACTGCAGCGATGCATCTAACCGTGTCTGACAAAGTAGGTGGTAGGATTTATGCCCATTTAATAGATGGGGTAACTGAGGTTGTGCCAAATGAAATCGCTTTCCCGAAACTAGAAGTCATGCCCCAGCATGTCTGCCTGTTTCCACCTTCCGGGAGAATGGTCTAAACGAAGAAAACGTGCTTGATTTTTCCTGTAGGTTGACTTGGGCACCCAGAGGCAAGTGACGGGCATCATTACCCAGGGGGCCCGAGACTTTGGCCACATCCAATATGTGGCAGCCTACAAGGTGGCCTACAGTAACAACAGCATGAACTGGACCGAGTACAGGGACCAGGGGGCCTTGGACAGCAAGGTGAGTGTCCGTCCGGCTGACCCTCTGTCACCCCTCTGGGGTGGGGGGACCCTCTGTCACCCCTCTGGGGTGGGGGGACCCTCTGTCACCCCTCTGGGGTGGGGGGACCCTCTGTCACCCCTCTGGGGTGGGGGGACCCTCTGTCACCCCTCTGGGGTGGGGGGACCCTCTGAGTCTGGCCTGAGGCTGGGGGGGAGGGGCTGGCCCTCCTGACCGCCCCCTCTCCCCCCTGCCTCCTCCAGATCTTCCCTGGCAACTTGGACAACAATTCCCACAAGAAGAACATGTTTGAGATGCCCTTCCTGGCTCGCTTCGTGCGCGTCCTGCCCATAGCCTGGCACAACCGTATCACCCTGCGTGTGGAGCTGCTGGGCTGCTAGCGGTAGGCCCGGCCTGCGCCACCCGAAGGGCCGCGGGGCGCCTGCCCTCACCTGGTTCTCCTGGCCTTCTGTTGGCCTGTGGCCTTCTCCACCCCACCTCCTGATTGTAGGTGACGGGGGAAGGGGAGGCAGGGGTTTCAGTCACCTCCCCTCTCTCCTTCTCCCCTCCCCCCTCCTTCCCCTCCCCCTCCCCCATGGCCCTGGCGCCCCGCCCTCACGCCATCCCATTTTCTTAGACACCATGGGAGTGGAGTAGGTCTGGGATGGAGAGGGAAGGGCGAAGTAGGGAGTCAGGGTTACCCGCACCCCTCGGATCCCTGGTTCTAGTCTGTTTTCCCTGCACTCTCTCCCACACCCCGCATTCCCATGGCCCTGGAGGAAGGCCCTGAGGCGCCAGGCTGGAGATAACTAACGGTCTCCTGTCCCTTAGCCTGATGCTGCCACCCTCCTGCTGCCACCTAGCCCCCCCTCCCACGTGCCTCTTCTCTCCCTGGAGACCCGCCCCTCTTGACCCTTGTCCTGAAGCCTAAGAAGAAACAGAAGGAGGGGAGTGGGGGGGCGGGCTTATGGAGAGAGGGGTGGAGGTGGGTGGGCATGGGGGGGCGCACCCTCTGTGCTGGTTCTTTACCCCAGAGTACACAGGCAGCTTCCAAAATATATTTATATCACCCCCTGAACTCTTGCTGTGGCTCATCACTGCTCCGTCCACATGGGCTTTGGCCTGGGCTGTCCCCCCGCCCCCCCTGCTCCCCTCAGGCCTTCCAGATACCAGTATTCTTGTATCACCTGCTGGTTGTGGAGAACTTACGAGAAGGGAGAGACTATTGGGGGTCGGGGGTCCCATGGAGTCCTCATGCCCGGGCCTCTTCTCCGTTCTCCCCCCCCCCCCCCCCACCCCGACCGACTCCTGCAGCCTTGGGGTCCACAGCTGCTGCCCAGTGAGGGGCCCAGGGGATGCCTGGCACACACACAGCCGGTCTCCGTGAATGCCTTTGCTCTCTTCCCATGCCAGTAGGAGAGGCTGAGGCTGTTGGTTTTCCCCTTCAGCATTTTCTCCGCTTCCAGAGTGAGGGGCCGGAGAAACGGCTAGAAACTCTGCGAACCTGGGCTGCATTCAGAGCGGTGTGAGGCTCCAGCGATGGGGTGCAGTGTGGGTGGAAGGGGCCAGGGCTCAGCCAAGTGGTCACGAGGCCTCCTGGCTGAGCACACTAGTTCCCGAGAGGCCGCTGGCAGGGCTGTGGGGCCGCAGAAAGCTCCAGGGGTACCTGCTCTGCTCTCACCACCCTGCCCCCCAATGCAGGGGCAGTCAGGAAGCAGGCTTTGGGGGGGCAGTGCCGGCCACCCCCTGGTGATCGGGGACAAGGGGGCTGGCAGGTAGAGGAGGGACCGAGTAGCTGGGAAAGGTATGTAAAACCACCTTAGTATCCTAGGCCTTGGAACACAAGGCGAATTTTCTGGAACAAACTTTGGGAGCCTTGCTGGGATATACATACATCTCTAGGCAGCAGATCTGGCCACACGGCTGCCAAAGGGAGGGTGTGGCTTTGCTGGAACCTGGGGAGGAGAATTAGTGTGGAAGTGGCTCCTTCCGGAGAGCTCCCCTTGCCAGGGATTTTTAGCCAGGCAGGAACAGACTAAAGGCCCAGGCTGCGGTCTCTGAATGGGGACTGGGGCTCCCCGCCCCTGGGGGTCTTTCAGCCCGGGTCACTCCCTCCCGTCTCCGAGACCTCTTCTGTGGAGCTGCATGGATTGTGTTTGGAGTCAGTCCTTCTGGCTGGTTGGCGGCATCTGGGCTCCCTCGGGGGAGCCTTTCCCGTCGACAACCCTGTTCTGGCCTCTCCTGGGGACTAGCAGCCAGTGGGAGGAGCTTCTTTTCAGTGCACCTGTGCTCTGGGATGCTTCCACCTCCCCAGTCAACTGGGCCGTGAGCCTTGCTAGAAGTCGGGAGGCCCATAAAGGGAAACGGAGAGCTTCACTCTTACAGGTCCACAACCCCCGTTCATGGCATGGAATGTTTGCTGTGGGCCAGTCTCATCAGCTGACTGGCCGTGGGGGCTGGTGAGCAGTCATCACAAGGCCCCCACCTGGCCCAGGAGCCCCGAGGTCACTCTGGAGTAGCTGAAGCCACCCAGACCCTCCTCATCTCTGCGACCTTGGAGGAGTTGGTCACGGCCTTCTAAAAGTCCCCCTCTGGAGAGCCTGGGGCCCTCACTGCTGCTCCCCCTGCCCTTGGCTCCTCTCGCCTGGGTAGTCTTTCCACTTCCGCAGACGTTCACCATCTCCTCCCCAGATTTGCTTTTATTCCTGACCGCTGTCTGGGGGGCCATCCCTGGCTGGCATGTGAAACTTGCTGGAGCAAAACTGCCCTCCCCTGATGTCGCCCCTGTTCCTTCACCTGTGGCCATCAGCACCGGGATGCATTGGCCTGCCTCTCCCAGGAGTCTGGGATCCCCTGGTTTAAACAGGGTGGAGCCCTGAGGAACGCAGGGCCTCCGGCTGGAAGATCTGAGTTCACATCTTGGCTCCAAGCAACCTGAGGCAACTTGTTGAGATCTCTGGGCCTCAGTTCCCTCATCTGTAAAATGGAGATAATAGGACCGCCTCCACGGCCTTGTGGAGACTAACGGAGAGAACTCACAGATGCAAAGCCTGGTGTGTTGGAGGCCTCAAACACTTTGCTCACGCCATCATTAGAGACGCTTGCAAGAGTTTCCTAACTGGTACTCGTGTTTTGTTGATCACCCCTCCAATCCATCTGCACAGTGGTCAGACCTCTCCTCCTGGGGTAGGAACCTTCGCTGGCTCCCGGAAGCCTGGCATTCACTTCGGATGTGGTGTGCCTTCTAGTTCGCTGCAGCTCTTGGTGCTCTGATGTGCTTCTGGCTCTTGTGTAAGACACACACACACACACGCTTGCTGGCATGAACGTAGGCTGTGGCCCTTCTTCCGGCTAGGGTTGAAGGATCTCTCGGCTTCTCTGCTGAGGGAAACTGTCCAGCCCAGGACCCCTGTCGGCCAGGGCGGAAACAAGACACCCTGTCCAAACAGTTCTGGGAGGTGAGGCCGGATGGCTGATTAGACTGCTGGCAGGATTCTAAGGGAGGGCCCTACCGTAGCCCTGTTGGAGCACCAGTCAGAAGCCTCATTGCCCCTGCTGGCTGCAGGGAGCACCCCTAACCACCTTCCCTCCTTCCAAGACCACCGATTCAAGCCTCACGCACTACCATCAGCATCTTTGCTCCAGACACGGAGTTAGCAGTCTGGTGATTTCATGACGGCCAAAACCATGGGCAGGAGGGATGTCCTTGCCCTCTTGTCTTACAGGGCAGGGAAAAGTAGGCAGGCAGGACATTCCTTACCCTTACTTCTCCCTAAGGTGGGCGGCAGCCATAGCCCACCTGCAGAGAGCTGGGGAGGGGCTCCCCCTGTTCAGTCCCACTGTTTTTGGTAAACGGGAGTGATCTAATTAATGGGACCCTCCTCAGTTAATGCGCCTCTTCCATTTCCCACTTACCCCTTTCTAAGATGTGACGGCAACTCGTGGACACTCAGTTTTGGAGGTGGTCCCCAGCCGAGGCTGGAGACCGCGCAAGTCGGCAACAGCTCCTCCCTTTGGACCCAGCCCTTGGGAGGGAAAGGGGCGCCTGTTCCTTTAAGGGGCTGGCCAGGCGGGAGCGCGGGGATTTGTCCGCAGCCGCTTCCTTTCAAGCGCTTCAGGATCCCTGGGACCCGGACCGTCCGAGGCCGAGCGCTCCGGCCGTCGAGGAGCCGCCTGGGGACGGTGCGTAGCTCGGGGGAGCTCGGGCTCCTCGGGCTCCCGT